CTGAAGTCCAGGGTCCGTATCCTGCTGCTTACCTTTCTTCCCTGTGTCAGGATCCTGAACTCAACCAACTCATGGTCACTGCCTCCCAGATTCCCATCCACTTTTGCTTCCCCAACTAATTCTTCCTGGTTTGTGAGCAGCAGGTCAAGAAAAGCTCCCCCCCTAGTTGGCTCCTCTAGCACTTGCATCAGGAAATTGTCCCCTACGCTTTCCAAAAACTTCCTGGATTGTCTATGCACTGCTGTATTGCTCTCCCAGCAGATATCAGGAAAATTAAAGTCACCCATGAGAACCAGGGCATGCTATCTAGTAGCTTCTGTGAGCTGCCGGAAGAAAGCCTCATCCACCTCATCCCCCTGGTCTGGTGGTCTATAGCAGACTCCCACCACTACATCACTCTTGTTGCTCACACTTCTAAACTTAATCCAGAGACACTCAGGTTTTTCTGCAGTTTCGTACCGGAGCTCTGAGCAGTCATACTGCTCCCTTACATACAGTGCTACTCCCCCACCTTTTCTGCCCTGCCTGTCCTTCCTGAACAGTTTATAACCATCCATGACAGTACTCCAGTCATGTGAGTTATCCCACCAAGTCTCTGTTATTCCAATCACGTCATAATTCCTTGACATCACCAGGACCTCCAGTTCTCCCTGCTTGTTTCCAAGGCTTTGTGCATTCATATATAAGCACTTGAGATAACCTGCTGATCGCCCCTCATTCTCAGTATGAGGCAGGAGCCCTCCCCTCACAGACATTCCTGCCTGTGCTTCCTCCCGGTATCCCGCTTTCCCACTCACCTCAGGGCTTTGGTCTCCTTCCCCCAGTGAACCTAGTTTAAAACCCTCCTCACTACATTAGCCAGCCTGCTCGCAAAGATACTCTTCCCCTGTCACTGGACTGGGAGGAGCGGCATTGTCAGGATCTACATTGGCCATGGGACAGCGATCTCGATGTGGAGGACCTGTACTGACGGTAACAGCCGCTTTGCGAATGGCCTCGATGGGTGGACCTGCGATGGCGAGACACCAGCAATCGATGCCCGGGGCTGCGGTGTCTTGGCGGAGACTTGGAGTGGGAGTTCGAGCGGGAATGGCGTCGACAACTGTGCTGTGACTGACTGCGGTACCCACTACGAGTCAAGGACTGTTGGCGACGCCTGCTGCGGTCCCATCAATATTCGCTCCTTGAGGACGAGCAGTGCTGAGAGAGGCCAGACAGTCTGGTCAGTGTCGAGGGTGGACTCTGCCCCCACATGGACTCTGCCCCCAATGGTCACTGGGCAGTGAATGCATCGGGAATGTTCCCTCGTCCGAGACTGGTACCAGGCCAGAGGCGACTGTGGAGATCCCAGAGGCAACTTGCCTCTGGAGTGTGAGGCCAACATCGGTGGCGCTCCAGGCACCGGCATGGACATAACGTCCCAGGCCGCCTGGAGGGCTTCAGGTGTGGATGGCACCTGGACATCCAGAGAGGCCTGTTCCGAAGGGGCCGGGCTACTCCACTCAACATGAGTTGGAGGCCTGGGGCCCGGTGGGGATCGAGGACTGCCCAACATGGGCCTAGCCTCTGTCCCAGACTTCCCTCACTGCTGCTGCAAAGCGGGAGTCTTTGTGGCCCTCTTGGCGTGCCCCGTGGACAGGGAATGGTGCCGATTGGTCGATAGCACCAGAAGGTGGCCGCGTACTGACACCGCAGTGCTGGGTACCAGTTCGGAGCGGTGTGCTGGAGTCAGGGTCAGTGCCAACTCCATCAGGATGGCCTGGAGCCTAATGTCCCTTTCTCTTTTGGTCGGAGGCTTAAACGACTTGCAAATCTTGCACCTTTCGCTGATATGGGTCTCTCCTGAACAGTGCAAACAGTCTGCGGGCAGGTCACTTCTTGGCATAGAACGCCTACAAGAGCCACACAACTTAAATCCCGGGATGCGGGGCATGCCCTGGCCTGGGCTCACTGACTAACTAAACAGCTAACTAACTACAGGTACTAACACTGAACGAACCAACGGTTCTGGGGACGAGCGACAGCAAAGCTGGAACAGAGTAGTTTCGATGCACCTTCACTGGCAGCAAGAAGGAACTGAGGGTGGTGGGAGCACAGAGCTCCCCTTATACCGCGCCAGGCAGGCGCCACTCCAGGGGTCGCGTGGGGCACTTCCCCCCTACGGGTACTGCTAGGGGGAAAACGTCCAGCACCGGTGCACGTGGTGAGCATGCACTCCTATTGTGGAATACACATGAGCAATCACTTGAAGAAGAATTCAGTTAATCCAATGGCTTCATTTAACATACACAGATAAAGCAGATTTCCGCATTATGGACCATGCCACTGTGTTAGTACAAGCCTGTTTAAAATGAATTCTATCAAGAGGTCACCTACAGTTCACAACATCATCATTCATCTCATGAAAGCAAGTCCAACAGGAAACCCATTCAGACACCTGATTGTTGCAAAAATATTTTCGTAAAGCAAAAGCTTTTCTTCTGTGTCCTAGCAATGTTGGTTTTGAATTTAAGTGAAATACATTAGTTCGCTAAGGCTGCAGACCAATGTATGAAAACAGATGAGGCTAGCATTCTTTGTTCAGTCTGTAGAAATGAAGCATGTTTTGCTTTCGGAGGTTACCTTGGTTTTCCTTAAACAAAAAAGTCTTCAGCTACATATTTTAAGATCTGAAGTATATTTAAAAAATGATAATTTAACCAGTGTAGCCAAAATAGCTCTGTTCTGAAACAATTCACAGCATGATCTTTAGAGCAGAACACCCAGCTACTAAGCTGTTCAATGTCATCTCAAAACATTTGCTGAAAAACAAGTGTATAGTAGATGCATTGTTCTAGGATGAGGGTATGTGTTTTTTTTTTTCTTCTTTTTTAAAAGGCTTGTTAAATAGCCTGTGCTTAATTCCAGGAGAATAGGGTCTTTTTCTCATTCCATAGGAGAAAGGTTCTCCCATGAAGGATATTGTAATTTTAGTGACACATCAGTCATTTACCTGCTGTTTGTGCCAACAATGGCAAACTCTACTGTGGCTACACAACTAGATTATCTGTATGCAAAATGCTAGGGAAAAACCTCACTACAACAGAAATTCAAACTAACAAATATGGGAATGCATTTCCTCAGCCATTATTTTTATTTCCTTCATCTGAAAATTCTAATAATCTCTATCCCAATTCTCACCCCTTCATTTCTGCCTGTGTCTAATATTGTCTCTTCTCCCTGGGGAAAAAAAAAGCATCTCCTTTTCTTTCTACAACCTGTTTGCCGTTGTCCATTCTCTTGCAGTTCCCCCCGGTACACTCTGTCTGCACTTGTTTCCTCCCCACCTCCACTACTACTGCTTCTCTCTCTTCCCTTTGGCTCCCCCTGTAGCCTATTGTCCCCCCACAACCCTCGCCCATCTCTCTCACTAAATAATAAAATAAGTGATGCATTCCAAGCCAATTTGCTTCTCATACTAATGTGCTGCTCCCCCACCAGAAGGGCGCAAATTGGCTGTACAGTAGCAGAGAAGGTAGCTCAATTAATTAGTCTGTGAAACTGCTCTCATGTTCTCCTCCAAATAAAATAATAATAATAATAAATAATCAGAGTGATCATGGCCCTTGTATGGATCATGGACCCCAAAGGCTGAGGCAGGGATGCCTGCAACAGGTAGAGGTTTTTAGGAAAACTTAATGACAAAGTTTCAACCCAAGCAGTTGGTTTACACTTTCAATATAAATTACTTTATCTTTGCAATGATAGGGCTCAAAGCTTACTTGTCCAAAAATGGAAACTGAGATTAGCTTTGACATATTTAAAATAGCAAGTAGGGGTGCATCAAGGATGGGGGGCAGAGGGCCCAACCTCCTCTCTTGGCCCCTGACTGGAGCTGGAAATTTGGCCCAGCTGCCCCTCCATCACGACGCTAAGTGGCATTACAACCCTGTGTTCCTGCTTGGCCCCATACCTTTGCAGTCCTTCTGTCACTATGGGCACCAGACACCGCCATTTCTAGGGAGAAGCAGAGCAGGGGCACCAGGGAACTGTAGTCCCCAGGAGGGTGGGAGGATAGGATCCAGGCTTTTGGTACTTCCTGGGCAAGTGGAAATGCAGGAAGAGGTGAGGGTCTGGGGCTTGCAAAACTACTTGGCCCTTGGTAGTGATGGTGCTCTTCAGCCTGTCTGCCTCTTTGGGTAAGAGAGCTCAGGGCTGGGTGCAGGATGGGGAGACCACAGGGCTGGGTGAAGGGCGGAGAGCACAGATCTGTGTGCAGAGGTGATGGAGGGAGGCATATGTGGGGTTGCATGCAGGGCCGTGGAGGGACAGCTCTGGGCCTCCTCCTTAGGAAAATTCTTGTTGTGCACCAGGTAACAAACTACCTAAGATGGAATGTCCCTGACCAGTGAGGCTAGTAAAATATGCTTTATTCCACTGAAAATCTCCCTCTTGTGGAGTGGTACAAAGCGTGCATAGAGCTGTGGCAGTTTGGGAGACACTGGAACTGCCACTGGTCACTAGCATAGCTGGGCTTCTTTAGCACTCGTCTTAGGCCTTGTCTACACTACAGGGGGAGATCAATAAAAGTCATGCAACTTCAGCTATGTGAATAATGTAGCTGCAGTTGACGTACTTAGATCTACTTATCGCAGGGTCCACACTACGCAATGTCGACTGGAAATGCTCTCCCATAGACTCCCTTTTTGCCTCTCGTTCAGGTGGAGTACAGGAGTCGACGGGAGAGTGATCTGCGGTAAATTTAGCGGGTCTTCACTAGACCTGCTAAATCGACCATTGATACATTGATCGCTGCGCGTTGAACCCCTGGTAAGCGTATACAAAGCCTTAGACTGTATACAATAAGAGCCTGGATTTTGGACCAGTATGTAATCAAGCCATATAGGGAAATAGAGTAAAATAGAAATAGAGTTGGGTCCATGTACAGGACGCATACATTGATATGCACAATTTGTCAGAAATAAACAAATACCTTCATTTTAGTAATGTGCTAATTTAATTTTAAAAAGAGAAAATAGGCAAAAACTAATCTCCGTGAACCAATTCTAAGTTTTGCTATGCTTTTTATAGTCATTGGGAAATTGTACATGAGAACATTTGTAAACATCTGTGAAATATTAGCAGACTGATGAGGACAAGAGACAATGGTTGTTTGCTGTGGCAATCTAATCTTCAGAGAAAAAAAATAGTCCTTATTTCACCTTCTCCAGATCAAAATCAGCCAGATCCACTTTGTTTCCTTTGAATTGTTTTTACTTCAAAAGTGGTAAGTTGATTAGAAACAGGAGAACAAAATGCAGGGTTTGGATTGTCTCTGGGCACTGAATCCATGTCTAAGCCTGGTGTTTCAGCCTCAGGAACTTTGGACACAAACTCTCTCTGTGGTTTTAGGAGGATAGCTGCCTCATTTCTTTGATTGAACATCTGTACTGGCATTTGTAGGGCTGAATCCTTGTCTCGGTTGAGACACTGGAAAAGGTTTCTGACGTCCTTACGGAATTTAGAGCTCATTCCCATGTAGATGAGTGGGTTGTAAAAACTGGCAGATTTGGCAAAAAGGCTGGCTAGGACATTGGTGATTGCTGGCACTTGAAACCCACATGCTGACCACATAGAGATTACTGCATAAGGAGACCATGCCAGGAAAAAGGCAAAACAAATTACAAATGACACCTGAGAAGGAAAAATAACATGAGATCATCAAAACTGTAAACACCACATTTCTAATGTCACGATTCTAGAACTACTTCAGCTTTTGGAAGAGCATCTGCATTTTGTAACTGCTAAAAGAGCTACTCACCCAAAAGTCATTTTCACAAAGCTCTAGCCATTATCTACCAAAATTAAAGGAAAAGTCTTCCTCACTTTCTCGCAGCTAAATAGAATCAATTAAGAAGCTATGGAAGAGAGTCTGGGTCTCCTTCAAACACACTGGGACTATAATTTTGGTCATTCATTCATATTCTGATGGCTGGAAAATGGGTTTAGAAAAGGGGGACAATTTAAGTTTTAACTCCAGTGAATAAGGAAAAGCTTCCATCAGAATAATTTGCACTGTATGCATCAGTTAGATAGAACACCATTGACACTCTTATAAAGTACATTGATTTTGGTAGGCCAATGTGAATACTCAAATGTACAAGCTATTTTGTTTAAATGTACTATATTTCATAATCAAAATGATTTATCCTACAGGACTGGAAATAGTAAAACAAAATTTTACAGTGGAGACCTTTTGTTGTTGCCAGTAATGTTGTACGGCCAGCAAATTTTGCTGTCATTTAAGGAATGTTTCAGGAGATACATTAACATGCAATATGGTGGTTATAAGAGGAGAGCAAATCTTTAATCAAGTACAAAAAACATTGAAAAGTCTAATTTAAACCAGAAATGACTCTGAATGACCAGAAGTCCCTGCTTTGGCTGCTTCTGCTCCTATCCATTGGAGTCTTTGGCTGGTTCCACTGCACTTTTTCCTCAAGGTCACCTGGAGTCAGGGAGGCACCAGCTGGATCCTGGTGCCCACAGAGCATGTGCGAGATCTCCCTTGAGCAGTTCTGGGTCCAAGGTGGTGCTGGGAGAAGGGAGGAACCCCATTTTAATCCCTCCAACCAGTGCAACTATCCCTGCTTTGTCTGCTTCTATAGCTGCAACTACACGCTGGACTATCTGGCTGGTTCCTATTTCCTATTGGAAACACTCTGTGTAGTATCTTAAGAAAAGAATAGATCATAGTTAAGGCTACATTTTACTCATGGATATTTTTAGTAAAAGTCATGGACAGGTCACAGGCAGTAAACAAAAATTCATGTGACCTGTCCACAACTTGTACTATATCCCTGACTAAATTGGCAGTGCTCATGGGGACTGGGTTGGGGGGACGACTGTGCATGCTTGGGGGATGGCCTGGGGGGTGCCCCAAGTGCTGGGGGGGTGCCCTAGGTGCACGGGGGTTACAGGCATTGCAGGGGTGGTCTGGGGGGCACTGCAAGTGTTCAAAGGGGTGGTCCTGGGGGCACTGCAGGTGCGAGCCATCCGGGACCCATGCTGGTGCTACGGGGGTGGGGGCGGGGGTTGGTAGGCTCCCTACCCGGCTTCTTGGAAGCAGTGACATGTCCCTCCCTAAGCTCCTCGCTCCGTGCCGCGCACTGCTAGCCCTGCAACTCCCATTGGCCAGGAACAACGGCCAATGGGAGCTGTGGGGGGGCAGTACCTGTGGGCAGAGGCAGCGTGTGGAGCTAGGAGCTGAGGAAAGGACATGTTGCCGCTTCCGGGGAGCCCCCCTCAAGGTAAGAGCTGCCCCTCCCACACCCCAACCTCCAGCCCCCCCACCCAAACTCCTCCTGCTGCTGGGGGAGAGGGGCAATGATCTGAGACTGCCCCAGCAGTGGCAGGTACGACTGGCCCAGGGGGCTGCCCAAACTGCTCAGGGAGCTCCGGCACCAGCCACACCGGCTGTGACTTCCTTGACAAACTCGCAGCCTTAATTATGGTATAGATCAAAAGAAGAGATAATGGCTGTCCTTCATATGGGGAATCAGAGATTAGAGACACATTAAACCATCCAGTTTATCCTCATGCAGTTAAAGGATTGTTCCGTGCATTTCAGGGTATGGCTATGCAGACGTCCGAGATGGGAGTGCAGCATACGTAGCTATACCCAAGCTAGCTTTGATCTAGCTAGCTCAAATAGCAGCAGTGAAACTGCAGAAGCACGGGCTGTATAGCCCCACCCAGGACTTTGGGGAGGTACTCAGTCATCTATTCCATGTTGTTATCCATGCTCCCATGGCTTCACTGCTCCTGTCATTTGAGCAAGCTGGATCAAAGCTATCTTAGCTCCGATACCCTTAATGTGCTTACTGTAGTTTGGTTAAAATTATGATTCAGGATAGAGGAGGGAGAGGAATATAATCATTTAAAAGTATTTGAAGAACATTAAGACCATGATAGCTCATGGTTCAAGGGGTTTACTATGGATAGGGTTGTTGAAGGGTCCAAACAATAGGAATAATGGTATCACACTTTAGTGAAGGAAAATTTAGGCTGAATACAGTTAGGAAGTTTTTCCTAATGTCCAACCTAAATCCCCTTGCTGCAATTTAAGCCCATCGCTTCTTGTTCTATCCTCAGAAGTTAAGAAGAACAATTTTTCTCCCTCCTACTTGTAACCACCTTTTATGTACTTGAAAACTGTTATGTCTCCTCTCAGTCTTCTCTTTTCCAGACTAAACAAACCCAGTTTTTTGTATCTTTCCTCATAGGTCTTGTTTCCTAAATCTTTAATAATTTTTGTTGCTCTTCTCCAGACTTTCTCTAATTTGTCCACATCTTTCCTGAAATGGGCACCCAGAACTAGACACAATACTCCAGTTCAGACCTAATCAGTGCGAAGTAGAGTGAAAGAATTACATCTCATGCCTTGCTTACAACACTCCTGCTAATATGGCCCAGAATGATGTTTGCTTTTTTTGCTTGTGATCTATTATGACCCCTAGAACCCTTTCTGCAGTACTCCTTCCTAGACAGTCATTTTTCATTTTGTATGTGTGCAATGATTATTCCTTCCTAAGTGGAGTACTTTGCATTTGTCCTTATGTAATTTCATCCTATTTACTTCAGACCATTTCTCCAGTTTCTCCAGATCATTTTGAATTTTAATCCTATCCTCCAAAGCACTTGCAACCCTTCCCAGCTTAGTATCATCTGCAAACTTTATAAGTGTCCTCTCTATGCTATTACGTAAATCATTGATGAAGTTATTGAACAGAACTGGACCCAGGACCGATCTCTGACGTACCCCACTGGATATGCCCTTCCAGCTTGACTTGATAACTACTCTTGGGAATGGTTTCCCAATCGTTATGCAGCCATCTTATAGTAGCTTCATCTAGGTTGTATTTCCATAGCTTATTTATGAGGCGGCCATGCGAGAGAGTATCAAAAGTCTTAGTAAAGTCAAAATATACCACATCTACTGCTTCCTCCCTATCCACAAGGCATATTACACTGTCAAAGAAAGCTATTAGGTTAGTCTGAATGATTTGTTCTTGACAAATCCATGCTGTTACTTATATTATTATCTTCTAGGTGTTTGCAAATTGATTGCTTAATTATTTGCTCCATTATCTTTCCAGGTACTGAAGTTAAGATGACTGGCCTATAATTCCCCGGGTTGTCCTTATTTCCCTCTTTATAGATTGGCACTATATTTGCCCTTTTCCAGTCTTCTGGAATGTCTCCCGTCTTCCATGACTTTTCGAAGATAATTGCTAATGGCTCAGATATCTCCTCAATCAGCTCCTTGAGTATTCTAGGATGTATTTAATCAGGCCATAGTGACTTTAAGACATCTATCTAGTCTAAGTAATTTTTAACTTGTTCTTTCCCTATTTTAGCTTCTGATCTTACCTCATTTTCACTGGCATTCCCTATGGTAAACGTCCAATTACCACTAACATTTTTGGTGAAAAACTGATATAAAAACGTCATTTAGCACGTCTGCCATTTCCCTATTTTCTGTTATTGTTTCCCCCCCTTCATTTAGTAATGGGCCTACCTGTCCTTGGTCATCTTCTTGCTTCTAGTGTATTTGTAGAATGTTTTCTTGCTACCCTTTATATCTCTAGATAGTTTAATCTCGTTTTGTGCTTTGGCCTTTCTAATTTTGACCCTACATACCTCTGTTATTTGTTTATATTCATCCTTTGTAATTTGACCTAGTTTCCACTTTTTGTAGGACACTTTTTGAGTTTCAGATAATTGAAGATTTCCTGATTAAGCCAAAGTGGTCTCTTGCCATACTTCCTATCTTTCCTATGCAGTGGCATAGTCTGCTCTTGTGCCCCTAATAATGTCTTTGAAAAACTGCCAGCGCTCTTGAACTTTTCCCCCCTCTGACTTGTTTCTGATGGGATCTTACCTACCAACTCATTGAGTTTGCTTAAGTCTGCCTTATTGAAATCCATTATCTTTATTGTGCTGTTTTCTCTCCTGCCATTCCTTCGAATCATGAACTCTACCATTCCATGATCAGTTTCACCTAAGTTGCCTTGCACTTTTAAATTCTCAACTAGTTCCTCCCTATTTGTTAAAATCAAATCTAAAACAGCCTCTGCCCTAGTAGTTCCACCTTCTGAAATAAAATATTGTCTCCAATACAATCCAAGTACGTGTTGGATAATTTGTGCCTTGCTGTATTACTTCCCCAACAGAAATCTGGATAGTTGAAGTCCCCCATCACCGCCAAGTCCTGTGCTTGGGATGATTTTGTTCGTTGTTTTAAAAAAGCATCATCCACCTCTTCTTCCTGGTGAGGTGGACTGTAGTAGACCCCTACCATGACATCACCCTCGTTTTTTACCCCTTTTATCCTTACCCAGAGATTTTCAACAAATCTTTCTTCTATTTCCATCTCAAACTCAGTCCAAGTGTATTTATTTTTTAATATATAAGGTAAGGAAGACCTTATTTCATTTGTGTCATTTACAAACATTACAAATGTAAGGGATCAGATGGGTTAGCGGGTTTAGTAATAAACCACCTTTCCTCTAGGTCACCAGTTCAAAACTGACCTGACTCAGTGGGGACCAGGGGTGTTCAATAGTCTAGATGAAATGAGGTGGTGGGTTTCAATTCAGGTCACAGACAGGACTCCACATCACAACTGGTGCTTATTAATATCCTTATTGGCAGGCTCAGGAGGATGGCTGAAGATGGAATGAGCAATGAGACCAAACTGTCCTCTCATCTCTAAAATGCTTAGGGTACGTTGGTAAGGAAACATGGGGGAAATTTTGCAATATCGGTGGTGTGCCTGTTCCAGGGATAACTAAAGGGATTTTCATTTTATTTTCTCTCAAATCTAGCATTGTTCTAAGAGTTAAATTACATATATGTATATAACCTGCTATATTGTAGGCAAAGAATTGTCCGTTACCTGTGTAATATTTCGTTTCATGAGCCGCTGCCTTTGGCTAATTTTTTTACCTCTTGTGGTCTTGTGACTTGATTTAACAGTCTTTATTATGGACACGTAACAGAAAACCATGATGGAGACAGGAATAAAGAAGCCAAATATAAAGACTCCAATCACATAGGACTTATAGACAACAGAAAATGTTGCCTTGATCCAGTCTATTTCACATGTTCCATATTTGTGGTCTGGAAAAATTGAACAGATTAAGTATGAACAAATCCTTTATCCGAAACAGTTATGGATTGTATTAACTGATGTGCACTTTACAAAGTCTTTAGAGAGGTTTATACAAGAAAAATCTGCATTTCTCATCACTTCTATATCACCTATTTAAAACAAAATTGATTCCCCATTTAAGATGTACAGAAAATGTTATTTTCTACAATTGACAAATTGTTTGTAAAACAAAATTCTCATTTACGTGAAGGCTGTATTTACTCCACTCTAACAGTGTAACAAGGCCTTAAAGTGAGCATAAATTAAGTTTAAACTACCAGAGTGTTCTAGAGGGGACTTCTTGCAAATGAGATTCAGACACTTCTGTCTTTATGTATAGAATATTATGTACAGAAATGTATATTAATTCCTTGTTTTGCCATTCATCAATTGCATTACTCAACTATCAAAGGAATGTAGCATGCAGGAAATAAAGTAACTATTGGTTTCAGTATTATCTAGGTTACTCAGTCTTACACTGTCCAGTAATATTCTGCAGAATTGCACAATGATTACTACTGTTTTTAATGGACACAGATGCTGGATAAGATTTTTCTCCATATAGGTAATTCTGTAGAAATGAACACTCACCTGTATAGCTACCCCACCCTAGAAGTGGTGCACTGGCCCAGAAAAGAGCAGTTGCCCATATCACAATCATGGTTAATGTAATATTTTTTCTATCAATTTTGTGAGCTGTAAGTAAAAGATAAAGATAACAAATTTGATCTCCAAAATAGATTAACAAGAAAGATTGTTTGCAGCTACACCTGAATTTTAGAAGAGAAAATGTTTAAAAAAATTAATGTTGTAAGAAAATAGGTATATTGAATTGTGCAATCTAACAAATGTTAAGAGCTGACGGAAATATTTCTTCACTTAATAGATTATATGAAAAAGAGCAGTTCCATTAATGAAATACTGTTACCGCCTTTTTTGTAAATACAATAGTTCAGATCAATGTTCCCTCTAATTTTTTACATCTGTGTACAGAATGAATTTTGTTATGTGCACCAATATGGAGGTGATGTGTGGCAGGAGTGGGGCCGAGGGGTTTGGAGTGTGGGAGGAGGCTCAAGATGGGAGGGAAGAGGTTTGGGATGCAGAGGGGTGGGAGTGTGGGCTCTGGGGTGGGGCTGGGGATGAGGGGTTTGGGGTGCAGGCTGCCCCAAGGCTGCAGCAGGGAGAGAGGCCGCGACAGTTCCGGCGGGGCCGGGGAAGAGGCGCCTCTCCCCAACCATGGCAGTTCCGGCAAGGGCTGGGGGAGAGACACCTCTCCCCACTGTGCACTTATGTGGCTCTTATATCCTGCTGCACGGCCACACGGCCTCTCAGTTTAGAGGAAATTTAGGTCCATATTCCCATTTACACTGAAGCCCCTCTACATTGCTTTGACAGTATAAAGAGGGCTTAATGTGGGGGTAAATTTACAGTAAATATTTACAAATATTTGTTTCCTTTGCTTTACAAATAAATAAGTAAAAAGGAATTTTCTGACTGAACTTGCAAAGATTTACTTCTAAATACTGTTGCCTGATCTGTAGAATACGTATTAATTATATTGATTACTTAAGAATCCCCAGTTATCACTTTGAAAGGGTTGCCAGGTTCTTCCCCCAAGATAGTTGGGAACCCTGATGTGCACAGTTGTAACACTCACACTATAGGAACTCTTTTATATTTACAAATGTAGTTTATTAATACATTTAGCACAAACACCCCAAGTCAGTAAGGTAGATAGATATACTACAGAATATACACCTGCACACCCATATACTCACACCATCTCTTGTAGCACAACCTGAAATGTAGCCATCATCTTCCACATCACCATCACCCATACCCGTCATTCTGGCACCTCCCAAGGACTACATCTCTCTCTCCTACCGCCCCCTAGGCTGGGATGCTGCTTTTATATGTTACACTAGCACTGCTATGTTTGATGCATATTCAAGAGGGGATTTTCTCCCTTTTCCTTATTTGTATGCCCTTACCTTACTAATGTTGGAGTGTCTTTTTCCTATAGGTTAGTATATTAATGATCTCAACTTATTATCATATACGTCAGTTTGTTACCATGGCCCTTTTGTGATTAGGTATCACGTTTGTTATTTTTGTCCTAATTGGTTATTTCAGTTCTTTCCAAGTTCCAAGATGTGATGTACCTGTTAAGTTTAAAAGGGTATGCACTTAGGAAAGCCCCTGTGCCAACCTGCTTTAACACATCTTCTATGTTAAAGGTTGCAGCCACACATGGACCTTATGCTTTAGCTCATTACCATGTATCTAGGTGAAAGATCCCAAACATATGTATGCTAACTTTGCCTTAGCTCAACATACAGCATGTGGCCTGCAGGTTCCTTGTGTTAAAATATACTCTAATGTAAACCTGTAAATCTATTATAATAAAACAAATAATCAAACCCATAAGAAAATAAGGAAGTTATAAAAAAAGATATATAGGGAAGTAAGCAGGCTAACCTAAGATGTATCTCATGTACCTATAGTCAGAACTTCCCCTTAAACTCTGTTTTTGGCTCCCCAAATATCTGGGGTTTTTTGTTAGGCCGTTTATCTGTCCAAAGTTCATAGGCCTCAAGCCTTATGTTAACTTGCTGAAGTTAATGTCTTACAGGATACAGGCCTGTAAGTTTCTTGCATTACTGCTAAATATAATGTAAAACAGTAAATATAATAAAGGCAAGCTTGCCCACTGGCTACAGTAGCAGTGAATATGACAAAGGCAAATTAGCCCACTGGGCAACAGTACCTTTTGATATATTTAAATCTGGTATACTTGTTAGGTGGTGAGGTTGGCTGGTAGCAACCAGTGAATTTTAACTCATGCCAGCATAGCATTTAGGAGAAATTTTCTGGGAACTTGCTTGACAAAAGAGAGATTTGGCTTCATTTCCAGGTGTTATCAGTATCATTGACTACTTGGGGACCCTTTTCTTTTGAAAATGAAGGACATACTGTCTTTGTCATATATTGAATAGGAACCTTCTTGTGGTGGTGATGAGGACGAACTCAGGCTCCTAACTCTGGCAGGAAAGTATCAGAAAACTGCTTGACTCTATTTGAAAGAATGAGTCCTCTTCTTCATTACTTCCTTTGGTAATGGATGATCGTGTAATGTTCCTCCCTCACATCTTTCCCTAAAAGCTTTACATCTTTCTCCTAGTTTTATGTCTCCATCTGTTCTCTTGTGTGCTTTCCATGGTTTCCTTGGTAACCCTGTGTGACAGAGAGGCACCTTGGCAATGGGTCCTCTGTTCTTTGTGAACAGGTCTCACCTCAGACCCGACAAACACATATCTTGCAGGGTATTTATCCATAAGGGATGTCATATGAGGTGTCTACAGAAAGCTCATTATTTGTCAAGACTCAAATCTTTTCAAGATGTGTGTATAGCTAACATCGAAGGAATAATGGGTTTACGTTGAAAGTATGCTTTATGGACTTGGAGTAGAAATTTATGACCAGGAGTTGATGTGCCTAGGGTAGGGGTAGGCAAACTACGGCCTGCGGGCTGGATCCGGCCTGCCAGCCATTTTAATCCAACCCTGAGCTCCTGCTGGGGAGTGGGGTCTGGGGCTTGCCTCACTCTGGCACTCCTTCTGGAGAGCAGGGTCAGGGGCTACTCCACACAGCTCCCGGAAGCAGTGGCATGGCCCAGCTCCAGCAAGGGAGCAGGGCTGGGGGCAGCTCCATTCAGCTCCTGGAAGCAACAGCATGCGCCCCCCCTGCCCCAGATCTTATGCATAGGGGCAGCCAGGAGACTCCGCTCTGCACTCTGCCTCCGTCCCAAGTGCCAACCCCACAGCTCCCATTTGCCAGGAACTGCAGCCAATGGGAGCTGCAGGAGTGGTGCCTGCGCATGGGGTAGTGTGCAGAGCCACTTGGCTGCGCTTCTGCATAGGAGCCAGAGAAGGGACATGCTACTGCTTTCAGGAGCTGCTGGAGGTAAGCGCTGCCTGGAGCCTGCACCCCTGATCCTCCTCCTGCCCTCTGACCCCCTCAATCCCAGCCCTGATCCTCCTCCTGCAGCCCAAACCCCTCATCCCCAGCGCCTGCAATCCCAGCTGAAGCCTGCACCCCTGCCCCAGCCCTGATCCTGCTCCTGCCCTCTGAACCCCTCAGTCCCAACCTGGAGCACCCTCATACATCCCAAACTCTTCATCTCCAGTTGCACCCCCAGCTGGTGCCCTCACCTCCACCTCCCCTCCTCCCCAGCTGGAGGCCCCTCCCGCACCCTGAACTCCTCATTTCTGGCCCCAGCCCAGAGCCCACACCCCCAACCAGAGCCTTCACCAACCCCAATTTTGTGAGCATTCATGGCCTGCCATACAATTTCTATTCCCAGATGTGGCCCTAGGGCCAAAAAGTTTGCCCACCCCTGGCCTAGGGGATGGCCCATGTAAGCAAGAGGGAGTTGTCACTCCACCCTAATTAGGTGGCGAGCTAATGCAAGACTCAACTGACCAGCTTTGCTCCCTCCCAAAACTATCAATGGAAAACCATCATAGGCACCACCAAACAAATGAAGCCTCCTTGAGGTGAAAAAGGAATGTTACAACAGACAGAGTTTTGCCTTGGCTGTAATTAGAAAGTAAAGACTGTTTTCAGTATAGCACAGAGAAGGGAGAAGCACTCTGGATCCACTTTTTGGAGGTTTTATGAACCTTGTGTTGCTTTCCTGATGTTTGGGCCCTGCTTCTTGTTAACCCAGCCAGCTCTGCAAAAGACTGAGCTTTTTCAGAAAAACCTATTTTATTACATAGACAAGGTAACTATTGATAAGTGTAGATCCAAGTTCACGTTTTATGATTTTGTTTTGTGTTGTCATCAGTTGTTTCCATCTTTCTCTCATTTCTAGTTAAATCTTTATTCTTTCTTAAATAATCCTTTGTTTTAAAACATTTGTTTTATTGTAAGTGCTCACAAGTGCAGTTTAGTTTAGAGAAGTTGTGGCTAAAGATAAAACTGGGGTACACAGCAGCTCTGGATAGACGGTATCTGGAATTTCTGTGAGTAGCCAGTCTCAGGGTGTTGTCTGATATATTGATTATGTATTGTTATATCGATTACTTATAAACCCCAATTAACACTTTGAGGTTTGATAGGTTCTTTTCCCAAGATCGGGCCCAGTATTATTTGAATTACATTTTAGTTGGAAGCCCCTATGTGTACGGCAATGGCCACAACACCCAAACTCAGGGAAGGCCTTATGAAATTGTAAAATGTTTATAATTACTATAACTAGTCTTTAAGTAAAACAGTCCAAACAAATAAGGTGAAGTGATACAGGAATGTAATAATGCCCAGCACCATCACATATGCATACTCACTCTATCCTTGGGGAGGACTCGAAAGATTGAGACAAATCCCAGTCTGAGTCAAGGGTCAATTCCAGTGGCCTAACCCATAACTGGATGTTTTATAGGTCTTGATGTTCATCATGCATATACATGAGAGGTTCCTCCCTCTTTTACCATATCACAACTTCCTCACCCTCATAATGTTGTGCTGTCTTATCCTATAGGTTAGTATATTCATTCATTTAATCTTATTAGCATATGTCAGTTGGTTACTATGGTTACCTATGGTTGAACATCTGCTGATGTTTTTCCCTCCAAAAATACCCCGAACTGGTACTGACTGACTTCTTGCAGTTATCAATCAGTAACTTTATGCTTAGTTTCAGCACTTTTGAATATTGCAAAACAAGCAAAACAGTATCTTACACTATCTTGTGACTTAAGGACACTGCTGGCTTATGTATTTATGCTAATTCTATTAAACAGTGTACTTCTACTATGGCTATTGGGCCTTTCTGTTATGCTAAGTGCTTACGCTAATCTCTTATAGACCTGGTACTATAGGTTTCTTGTGTTTCTGCAATATTATTCCTATCTTTTACCATACCAGTATGTGGGCTACAGAGGCTGGATATCACAGGGGAATGATTCAAAGGGATTCAGGGATTGGGGTGCGTGACGGGATCCCCGGGGTGCAGTCTGGGACTGTGGCACTGCTGTGCCCCCCTGAACTCTCTCCGGCCTGGGCTGTCTCTGACAATGTCTTGCTAGTGACCCTCCCCAGGTGCTGTTATCACTTAGCACAACCACACGTGGAGCCCCATACCCAGCTATATTGCATAAATGCTCCCAGACCCACTCATGAATCACACAGGGAAAGGCATCAGCCAGATCCCCCCAGCTCCCAGCACTGTACCCCAGGAATATACCATCTTGCACTGCTCAAGATGAGCACTGCAAATTTATTAATTGGTTCACCACTTCGTCAATGGAAAGTGGACATACACAAGCCTTTGTAAACCTGAGCAGTTTTGCTACACACTTCATACAAACTCACTGGTAAAGATAAACAGTAAAACAAATTTATTGACTACAAAAAGATAGATTTTAAGTGATAGGCAAAAAGTCAGAGTTAGTTACCAAAATAAAATAAATTATAAGCATGCAGTCTAAACTCTCCACCCTATTAGACTGGCCAAGATCTAGCTTAAGCAGTTTTTCTCACCCCACTTGATATTGCAGTTCATAGTATGCAGATTTCACCCTTGAAACCTGGGCCAGTCTCCTCTGCTTAAGTCTTCTAGTGACTTGTTGCTTGCAGCATGGGTGGGGGCAGGAGAAAGGTGAAGCATGGGCCTGCTCTGTTCGGTTTTATACCCCCAGTTTCATGTGCTTGGGGAACACACAAGTCCAGGAATGCCTGGTAGGCATTAGAGAGTCTCTAGGCAAGGTTGAGCAATTCCCCTGGTGTGGCCTCATGCAGATGAGTCATTGAATTATAGCTCCCTGGCTGGACAATGGCTCTTGATGAGTTGTTTGATACCCCGCCCAGGCACTGGTTACTTTCCTTGCTGTTGCCTCTGGGGAACTAATATCTGGCGGACTCCCCAACTTACAGCATATTTTAGTGACCACCATGCAACACAATTCTCATAACTTCATATGCATTAACAATATACATATATGGATAGAAAAATCACTTTCAGCAGATCATAACCTTTTCCCTGATACCTCACACAGTCTGCTTTATATGCAAGATCACAATCATATATAAATGAGGAACATGAGGGTTACAGGGTGCTCCCCCAAAGTACAGAATGTCAGAGGGTGCACCTATTGTTAACCTGTAAGGCGAAGAAAGGGATGGTATTAGGCCAGAGGAGAATGCTTGAGTGGCTGAAGGGCTGGCAGCATCAGAGAGCGGAGACCCAGCTACCACAAGACAGACTCCCTTTTGCTAGAGGCAGGGAGTAACAAGGTGACTCTCAATTCTGGGTACCCTGAGAACCATCACACTCTCCAAATTAGCCTGTACACTCTCAGGAGCAGAGACTAGGGGTTCAGATTCTGATTTCATGCTGCTATAAACTGGACTGAAATCAATACATTTATTAACTCATAGCTTACACTAACGTCAATGGGATTAGAATCAAACTCCACATTGTATTCTGCATTTGTAAAACATCATGCACAGGTATAGTGCAATATAATTACATACCCAAAAGCCCTATGTTTAAACTATGTTATGAAGGTAGTAATATTCTAACTTTACAATGTTTGACTTTGCAACTCTAACGACAGTCTTTCAATATACAAAAATATATATATATAATTTCCCAAGTTTTTAAAAGAACATTCTGTTATGCACTTGACATACTCTGTCATAGGATCTCTTCGTCGCAACCACAGATCAGCACAATTTGAACTCTGGACCTAGCAGCACTGCCGTTCAGACCTCTACCACTTGAGCTAAAAGACTATCTACAATAGATGGCAACATGAGTAGGCTGGTGTCCTATGTGGACAAGCCACTAGGAGGACAAAACAACACACAATGGACTGAACGAGTAGCCCCATTTTACAGACACCAAGCATACTGCACACTGTCTGATAAGCTATGCAGCAAACTTGATAAGACTTGTATATGATATATTAGAGACCTGGATTCTTTTTATTGACAGCTTCTATAACCTTGCACTGGAGTAGGAGACCTTGCTCAATAAATAAGGATTCTGAAGGACACAGAATTAGTAACACTGGTCATTAGAAGAGGTGAGTCAAGAACTCATGGGATGGTGACTCCCAGCTCAGGGTTGCAAGGGTTGGAGGAATATTGTGTGTCCCCCATCTGGAGATTCAGCTCAGGGGAGCTGCTTCAGAATGATTCAGGGAGTCACTGGGGAGCATGCTCAATACCACTGGGGGGGGAAGTGTAGTGTAGGGAATGTTCAGAGATTTCAGCAGCAAGCCTACAATAAATTGTATTAATCTTAGGTAAATGAAGATTTTTAAACAGCTTATAACTTGGCCAAATTTGAACAGGTTTTCATAGACACAGCAAGAAGTCTCTGACGCCAGAACTATCTCCCTGGCAAATTTCGGATTCCTGTTTCAAAACAGAGGCACAAGAGCTCTTAAAAGTGGTTTCAAATTTTTTTTTAATGGGAAGTGTTAGGCGACCTTAATATATCAGTTGCTACCATAGGTCCTATAAAAAGTGTTTTTTGGGAGTGGGACAAATATTTAGATTTTCGTAAAAGAGCAAAGCTTAGTATTGTATTCACAAGTGCACCTCTAATTATACTGGAAACATGAGTTTTAGTAAAGTAAAAAAGACAATTGTTTGTATATTTTCAATCTAATTCTTTGGCTTGATTTTAAAGATTTCAAGTGTATAATATTGTCAACACATTTAATAAAATACCTTTGAGATAGTGATTTGATGTTTGGCAAAGAAAGCAGACATACCTTGGTGGAGCTGGCATCCTTTAATGTATCTGATGACACTGATGGCTGTCAGGGTATTAATACTGATTAGACCAAAAAAGAGTATTATAAATCCATCCACCTGACAAGGAAAGAGTGGAGAGAAGAAGAAAAAAATCCAAACTCTTGGTATAAAGGGCATATCTCAAAGGTAGAGAACACAGAAAAAACATGACATTTATTAATATTGAATATGTTTCTACTAAGTATTTTGAAAGAGTTCTCTTTAATATTTATTCACACTTTTAATTCTAGGCTGTGTTTGATCTTGCATGCACAGAAACAACTTAAGGACAGCAATTGAAAACGATTACTTTTTTTTTTGCAGGGGAAAAATCCAGGATAAAGACTAAAACAAACCCAATGTCACAGGAATCTGTACATTCTCCTGTTACTTAAGTTAGGGTCTAAGTATTCAGAAAAAGATTAAGAATCTGGAATTGTAAATAATGCAGTTACCTTGCATGTCCATACTGAAGTGATTAGAAAGCCATCATCTTTAAGAACATTAAACAGCTCTAGAATGCCCCTTGAATAGCCGAAGAGGGAAATGCCTGCATCTGAGACAGCAAGATTGAAGGTGAGATAGTCCTGAGGGTCCAGGGAATGTCGTTGGTTGTACATGATGAAGATCACCCCTCCGTTGCCAAGCCAAGAAAGCCAACCTATGCAATTAAAGTCAGTGCTGTAGGACAACTGGAGAACAATTTGAAAGAAAAATACTAATTGGTATTTTGCACTTCCTCTTTTGCAGGACAAAATGGGTCATGCCATTGGCTCGCCACTTTCCATAAGTTGTGGCATTGACTGACACTGTCTTGGAGCCCCATCAATTTTGAACTACAGGATGATGGCTGTGACAGAAGAGGTTAGACAAATATATTGAGCAATAATGGGAGGAAATCTCAGAAGTCTGACAAGAGCATAGAGAGCCTCAGGTGGTTGCCATTATTAAAATTAAACTTTCATTGCAAATAATCTCCTAATTAATTCACAATTTGTGATGAACATTCAAAAGACAAGTTGACTGAATATGGAGAGACTGGGATAATCGCCCTAAGACCGCTGTCCTGTCAGGATTTTCCAGTAGTGCACACATCTCACCAGTAATACATGTGACCATTGTACATAACATATTTTCATAAGAATATTTTTGAATGAAGCTGGAACAGATCTGAATAGTTTATATTACATTGGACATTTCACAAAAGCGCCTGTTTTTCAGGTTCACATACAAAATAGCAGTTGATCAGACATTGCCCAGGAATTAAGGAACAGAAAAAAATCAGAAAACTGCCATTGTCTTTCTGATTTCTGCCGTTTTGGGGCAGAGAATTCACTATTAAAACAGCTCTTTTGTAACAATGAAATACTCAGAGAGGAGTTTCCAGTACTTAATGGGCTTTCCATAACCTGGAACTACCTGGAGACTCAGCACTGCAAAATACCCCGAATGGGCTTTCCACATATCTAACCTCAATGAAAGAATCAAAGCCACTTTAATCAGTTTATGAGGAATCTAGAAACAGCACAAGAAGCCTTTCCATCAGGCTGAAACATCTAGAATGGACCGTCACTCTCCCAAAATACAAAGAGAAAAGGGTTTCTAGAAGTTTGACCAAAATGAATTGGGCTTTTGAATACACAGAACAGGTTTTTACACTCTGACCCACAGCCAGAATTGCTATTGCACAACATCTGGAATGGACTTCCATGAGAATCTCAAAATATATTGTAACTTTGAGAGGTGGTTGTTTATATGAGAAAAGGGGGTCAACTTCTCAGCTCTTTGCAGTCCAGAAATAATGGGTAAGCCCACATGATTTCTGGTGACCCATTTCTGGAGGGTAGGGATAGGATACAGAGGGACCTAGACAAATTGGAGGATTAGGCCAAAAGAAATCTGATGAGGTTCAACAAGGACAAGTGCAGAGTTCTGCACTTAGAACGGAAGAATCCAATGCACCGCTACAGACTAGGGACAGAATGGCTAGGCAGCAGTTCTGCAGGGAAGGACCTAGGGGTGACAGTGGACGAGAAACTGGATATGACTCGACAGTGTGCCCTTGTTGCCAAGAAGGCCAAAGGCATTTTGGGGTGTATAAGTAGGGGCATTGCCAGCAGATCGAGGGACATGATTGTCCCCCTCTATTCGACACTGGTGAGGCCTCATCTGGAGTACTGTGTCCAGTTTTGGGCCCCACACTACAAGAAGGATGTGGAGAAATTGGAGAGAGTCCAGCGAAGGGCAACAAAAATGATTAGGGGACTGGAACACATGAGTTATGAGGAGAGGCTAAGGGAACTGGGATTGTTTAGTCTACGGAAGAGAAGAATGAGGGGGGATTTGATAGCTGCTTTTAACTACCTGAAAGGTGGATCCAAAGAGGATGGATCTAGACTATTCTCAGTGATAGCAGATGACAGGACAAGGAGTAATGATCTCAAGTTGCAGTGGGGGAGGTTTAGGTTGGATATTAGGAAAAACTTTTTCACTAGGAGGGTGGTGAAACACTGGAATGCGTTACCTAGGGAGGTGGTGGAATCCCCTTCCTTAGAAGTTTTTAAGGTCAGGCTTGACAAAGCCCTGGCTGGGATGATTTAGTTGGGATTGGTCCTGCTCTGGGCAGGGGGTTGGACTAGATGGCCTCCAGAGGTCCCTTCCAACTCTGTTATTCTGTGATTCTATGATTCTATATACCATATTCTAGCCGTGTCTGAAACTGTTGGGGTTTTAGGAAGGGTATATTTTTAGTCTTGCCTCATTATCAGCTGGCAGTTAAATCCAAATCTTTAGGCATGTATTATGTATTTTTGCAGAAGATACTGGCCTCCATAAACTGGAAATTGTCTGTTTGCTGTTGCTTGCGAAGTGTATTAAAGAATAATGGCCAAAGTATGATTCTCCCAAACCCGATCAAGTGACTGTCAAAACTGTTCCAGTTTTGGACTTCAAAAATTAATAAACTTCTTTAGAGATCATATCCCCAGCATGACTCTGTTTAAGGAAAACAGTGAAGCCATATTAATAGCCTCGACACAAACCTTGGTCATGAAAACAGACTACAGTAAAAAAGTAAACATGGCTAGGCTAGGTAGAAGCAGCTCTAGGGAACATAAATTATAGGCATAGAGTCTCCAGAATCAAAACAGGGCTGGTCAAAGTTAATTAAGATTCTAAAAGGCCTTCTCAAGGTTATTTCGAGTCCAACTCAGTCATATTTGGCCCGGGGGAGGCATGATGGAAAAAATGGCTTCACACATATTCCAGATGTGAAAGTATTTTTTTCACGAGTTAGACAATATCCTACAATTCCAATTCACTATTATAGACCATGTGAAGTTAGAATATAAAAGTAAACTAATTTGATAAAAAAATGTATGTCTAAAGACTATGAATAGATTTCTTCATTCAGTATATGAAGGAAGGAGACAGGGAGTTGTCCTGTGTATTATTCATAGTCTCAAAATCCTGTTAAATTTGCTGTGATTTTCACTCACTCCATGAATTAAAGTAGGTTTGTGTTTGCTATTTTATGAAACCATTCATGCACATAGCTATCATTTATTATATATAATTGAAACAGAATGTAAAAACTACTTAATTCAGCTTTAGTAGTAGGGCTTTCAGTATCAAAAATATTTGATTCATATCTATAACAATAAACAAAGATCTTTTTCCTATTAACAGCGTTGTAAGTTTGCGGTTTGTATTTTGGACAAAAAAGAGCAGATGTTTTTGATAATCTACTCAGATTGTTACAAATAATGTGGAACAATTCCTGGAGTTGACATCTTCTAATTCTAAGGGAAGGAAAGAAATGTTGATTGTATCGTTGTGAATTCCTTAGGATGGTGTAGTATTATGCTATGAAGGGCATGTATGTAGAGAACTGGTCTTCACTTTTCATTTCCCACCCTACCCCAATTCGAGTTTCCATTTTACATTATTCAATTCATGTTTTAAATCTAGACTCTTTCTGAAAGCTACCAATTTCTCATTTATTTTTAGCTGGATTTTTATAATGATAAATTAACCTGAAATATCTTCAACAAAGTAAAACAGCTGCAGCAGCAGCAACAAAAAGTAAATAAACGATCAGTGTCAAACTGTGAATTGGTCTTTGCATAACAAATATACAAGCATTATGGTAAGTAAAGTCCATTTCCTTTGTTTTTAAGTAACTGCAATTTCTAAACATACATAAGATTCAACTTTACTCTGGAGAAGGCACAGGTATTCCGATTTTCCACACTCATGATGAGCCGACTGCACATCTCTCTTCAGAGCAAAGAACAGAAAATAAAATTTGAAACACAGCCTGAATTTGCTTTTCACTTACCTAGCGTGAGCAAGTAAACCCCAATGATGGTTTCCCAATCCTCTGAGACAGCAAAACCAGACTTGTTACTGTGCAATAAGCTGGAGCTGTCCATCAGCACCACTCTCTCACCTTCTGGAAAGTTCTGATTCAGAAAACACAGTCGTAGATGCAACTATTTCTCTGGCTCTCTTTTAAATAAGTGTCTCACAGAACTTCTTTGACTCTTCTTTAGCAAGACTAGGATACTTACTTCTTTAGTAAGACAGCAGGAGCAACTATGTGGGAAGTGCAAAAAAGGAAGCTGAGCAAGGAGGTAAGACAGTGCTCCTCCATCTACTGAGCCTCAGCTGCCACTCAGCATCAGCATAATTAGCAGCATCAAAAGTGCTGGGATACTTGGTTTAAAGTCTCAGGGTCTGATCCACACATGGCCCAAATCTGTCTTTTACATAAAGGGCTTTGAGACTGTAAAGGACAAGGTCACTGGATGAAAACTGACTGACTTTGCCAAGGGGCTTGTGCTTTCTCTTAACCTCAATGGCCCCTAGAATGACAGAGGAGACAGTCCTGCTAAAGGTTTTCCTGCATGATCTCTTGCATTCCTTTTCTACTACTGATCTCTTTTGGAGAAAGGCCACTTAACAGGAACATGTAATATTCCAGTGATGGTAGAAAGGACCAGTGAATGCTGTAGGAATTTTCACAAAGAGATGCCCCAGTGAAATACAGTAGAATCTCAGTGTTATGAACACCAGTGTTACGAATTGACTGGTCCTTTGGAACTGGAAGTACACAATCAGGCAGCAACAGTCATGAAAACAAACAAACAAAAAGCAAATACTGTACAGTACTGTGCTAAACATAAACTACTAAAAAAAAATATAAAGGAAAAGCTTAAAAAAAGATTTGACAAGGTAAGAAAACTGTTTCAGTGCTTGTTTCATTTAAGTTAAGATGGTTAAAAGCTGCATTTTTCTTCTGCATAGTAAAGACTGAAAGCTGTATTAAGTCAATGTTCAGTTGTAAACTTTTGAAAGAACCATAACATTTTGTTCAGTCATGAACATTTCAGAGTTATGAACGACCTCCATTCCTGACGTGTTTGTAATTCTGAGACTCTATTGTACTTTGTTTTGATGCTGACACAAAATATGAGGCATGGAATGTATCAAACATGAAAATCAAACTGTGTGTGTTGTGCGGGAACTATACATTTATTTAGAAATATATTAAAGCTTTATTTAATAATAAAATATATGCACCGCTGAAGTAGCAAATGACGAAGTACATACAGCAAAGCTTTAAGGAGCCTCTAGATGCTTGGAAGATAGTAAATGAATTTTACTGAGTATTTGACAATATGTCCCATGTCTAAAGATTTAAACATTCTCCCTTTTTGAAACGTTTATTATTATTTTTTTACAAGCGAGAGAAACAAGTTAAGGAGAGAACAAATGACACAATAAGATATCCCATATGGTTGATTTCTATTAATCCCAGTGAGCAACCAAAGAGAAATCAGAATTTATAAGGTTGCATAAGAGATAAAAAGGTATGAGAGCAGTGGATGTAACAAGTGGAAGCACAACTATAATGCTTTATACAGTACTAGTCACTGCACTGTGGAAAGGACTTTGCAAAAATTGAAGAGGTGTAGCAGAGGGTAACCAGACTCAATTTGGCCTGCAAAAAGGGGTGGTAATTATAAGGAATGGTAAATTTGGTTGTGAAAGCTTGGTTAACTTGGTTAACCCAAGTTAACCAGAAAAAAATGACAATGTGAATCACACATGGAGCAATACATAACTCCAGAACATGTGAAATGGAACTAAATCTGCCTAAATTGTGCTTTAAATATTGAACAAACTTTGAAATCCGTAAGAAAAGCCACCTGGCACATATTAAAATTGAAAACAGTCTTAACCAGATTCAAGCCCATACATTTGACACTGAACCCAAGCAAACAGCAGAGTTTGTGCTGCTTGACAATGGAAGGCATTTTGCAGTAACAGTGCAGTGTCCTCTGAATATACACACCCACAATTGGTCAGTTCAGTCCACAGTTTAGGAGTACTCCTGGATTCCTTGCTGATGCTAAGTGCTCACATAACAGCATTCACGGATAATGCTCTTTGTCAGCCACATCACCCAGGCTCCATTATACACGTCCTGGCTTGAACACAACCACATCTACTTCTGCATGAAACCCTCAGCTATCAGGACACTCCAATTACTGTTGGATGCAGAAGCACATAGCCTCAGCAATCTGGGCTACAGTGAGCCTGAGTTATCCTCTGCTCATTACACTGTCTTCCTATAGAATGTGTCCATTCAAGATGTTGGTCCTTTTTTCCTCAAGGTGCTCAGGATAGCTAAGAAATTGCCAAAAGAGCTGGGATGAAATATGTGGTCAACAACATTGCTTCTCAAGCACTCAAGTATTTCACCAGAAGGGCAAAGCTCACCTGTGCAGGAAATGGAGCTTTCTTAAAGGCTGGCCCAAGATTTTGGAACAAACTCCCACAGGAATTAAGAACTACCTCAGAACTCACTCCCTTCCATTCCAAGTGCCAGATGTACTACTTTGACCTTGTTTTCACTAATCTTCACTAGTATAAACACATAGCACAGCATAGATATAATTTATTAAAAACAGACGAACAAACAAAACCTGCACGTGCAATTTCCCCCCTGGATAGAGAATGAGAGCAAGGATGAGATACACATAACAGATGTTCCAGAGTAACAGCCGTGTTAGTCTGTATTTGCAAAAAGAAAAGGAGGACTTGTGGCACCTTAGAGACTAACCAATTTATTTGAGCATAAGCTTTCGTGAGCTACAGCTCACTTCATCGGATGCATTTCATCGGATGTATTTTCCATAGTATGCATCCGATGAAGTGAGCTGTAGCTCACGAAAGCTTATGCTCAAATAAATTTAGTCTCTAAGGTGCCACAAGTCCTCCTTTTCTTTTTATAACAGATGTTAGTCATGTTGCTCTATGCACTACTGGTGGTCATATACTATAGGCGCCTAAGTAGAAACATAGAATATCAGGGTTGGAAGGGACCTCACGAGGTCATCTAGTCCAACCCCCTGCTCAGAGCAGGACCAATCCCCAAATTTTGCCCCAGATCCCTAAGTCGTCCCCTCAAGGATTGAACTCACAAGCCTGGGTTTAGCAGGCCAGTGCTCAAACCACTGAGCTATCCCTCACTTCGGATGAGGTTAGTATAAGAATTGGAATGAAACAGAGTTTTTTTTAAAGATGGGGAGTGCCAGTAGTTACCGGTACTAGACCAGAGGTGGGCAAACTACTGCTTGCGGGCCGCATCCGACCTGTGGGATCCTCCTGCCCGGCCCCTGAGCTCCTGGCCCCGGAGGCTAGCTCCTGGTCCCTCCCCCACTGTTCCTCCTCCCCCGCAGCCTCAGCGTGCCATGCTGCCAGTGTAGTGTACTAAACTGCTCCGCGTAGGAGTGTGCTATGGGTAGCAGTTACGGAGAGCAATTTACTACACTACACCGCCCTGGGCGGCCGGGCAACACTCTGGGCCGTGCGGCTGTAGCACTGCCAGCCACCGGTGCTCTGTGCTGTGCAGTAAGGGGGCAGGGAGCGGGGGGGGGGGGTTGGATAGAGGGCAGCGGAGTTTGGGATGGTGGTCAGGGGGCGGGGGTGTGGATGGGGTTGGAGCAGTCAAGAGGATGGGGAGCGGGGGGGGGGGGAGAGGTTGAATGGGGGCAGGTGTCCCAGAGGGGCAGTCAGGAAGTGGGGGGGGTTGGATGGGGAAGTGGGGGGCAGTCAGGTGCAGGGGTTCCAGGGGCGGTCAGGGGACAGGGTGTGTGTGGATGGGGCACGAGTCCTGGGGGGGCCTGTCAGGGGGGGCAGATAGGGGGTGGGGGCACAGCTTCCCCTAACTGGCCCTCCATACAATTTCCAAAACCCGATGTGCCCTCAGGCCAAAAAGTTTGCCTGCCCCTGTACTAGACAGACTGCTGAGTTGAGAAAATGAAAGAGTACATATGTTGATTTTTATTTCCAATATTTCCAATGGATAAAATGGCACTAAATGATGCATTTGTTTTCCTGTACTACTTTGTACTCATGTTTTAAGGAGTAGATGAAATGCATTACTTGTGTGGGGAAAGAATTTCACTTTTTCAGGAAGTTAGAACCTCCCTTTTGGTATGTTGTGTAATTATTTCATTTGAAGAAATGTCCTCCTCTCAAACTGTACTGATTTGGTCAGAGAGCATTCATTTCTCTAAATAGGGCAGGCTGAGACTCACCTCCTGTAGAGGTATACTATTTTGGGGAAGTGGCAATATTAATCCAGCCATTACAGGGCTGCTCTAATTAAGAAACTCCCCTGTGTACTCTATGGCTAAGTCTACCTGAGAAATTTGCATTAAAAAAAATCCCCTGAACCAGCATCCATCATAAAGTGCTATAATTATAATGTATTTCAATTTTAGACTTACAAAGCAGTAAGAGCTGTACTGTGATTTTGTTTTAGTGTTCATGAAGAAGTTACATTTGAAACAGTTTCTGCTACAATACCCCAAAAAAACAGTTACACATTTAATGATCATGCAAAAAAGATAAATGTGAGTTAAGAGGACCATGGATTCTACCAGTTTCATGATGAAATTTTGACTGGGCAGGCAGATGAATGGGCAGGTTAACAGCTGTAAAAATTTTCAGAATCTTAAACAGCCAAATGAACTGCAATGAAGGCTTCTGAAAAACTGATTAGCGAAGACCGTGCACAGACACAAAGAGACTTGTAGCTGGGGCTACTTACAAACAAGGAAATACAGGACTACCTGGCAAAGCAAAAGATGGAACAAAGGCACACTATAAACCCTGAAGATATTTGTGGGAAAAAAGAAATAAGCTTCTGCCTATAATGAAGGCTTCTGTAGATGGCAGATGGGAAGTAAGTAGGCACCCAAGAGGTCATGAATCTTATAAGAATGATTAGAAGCATGGGAAAGCGCCCATATGACAAGAAACTGAAAAGAGTGGGACTGCTTACCTTCCAGAAGGGACATCCTAAAATTATACAAAACAATGAATGGCCTAGAGACAGTAAATTGGTATTTTCCATTCATCCTCTCTTATAACACACGAAAAAGGGGACATTCAGTGAAACTGAAGGGTGTCGTTAAAAAATGATAAAATGAAACATTTTTACTAGGGTTGTCAAGCAATTAAAAATCTCGATTAATCACACGATTAAAAATTAATCTTGATTAATCACGCTGTTAAACAATAACAGAATACCATTTATTTAAATACTTTTGGATGTTTTCTATATTTTCAAATACTTTGATTTCAATTACAGCAGAATACAAAGTGTACAGTGCTCATTTTATATTACAAATATTTGCTTTGTAAAACACAAATGAAATAGTATTTTTCAATTCACCTAATACAAATACAGTAGTGCAATCTTTATCATGAAAGTGGAATTTAAAATGTACAAAATTATGTACAAAATGTAATTATGTACAAAAAATAACTGCATTCAAAAATAAAATGATGGAAAACTTTAGAGCCTACAAGTCCACTCAGTCCTACTTCTTGTTCAGCCAATCGCTCAAACAAGTTTGTTTACAGTTACAGGAGATAATGCTGCTCGCTTCTTGTTTACAATGTCACCTGAAAGCGAGAACAGGCATTCACTTGGGACTGTTGTAGCGGTGTCAGAAGATATTTACGTGCCAGATGTGCTAAAGATTCATATGTCCCTTCATGCTTCAACCACCATTCCAGAGTACATGTGTCCATGCTGATGATGGGTTTTGCTCAATAACAGTCCAAAGCAGTGCGGACCAATGCATGTTCATTTTCGTCATCTTAATCAGATGCCACCAGCAGAAGGTCCATTTTCATTTTTGGTGGTTTGGGTTCTGTAGTTTCCACATT